GAGAGAGAGAGAGAGAGAGAGAGAGAGAGAGAGAGAGAGAGAGATGGGGGGGGCAGGAGAACAGAACAGACTGGGAGGAGGTGGGGTCTGTGTCTGGCTCTTTAAGGTGCAGGTGAGCTTACAGAGCTACACCATGCATGCTAGATTGCTTGACCACTCTGCACATATGTAATCACGAGTGCACACTGACTTAAGACATAAGATCCCAGACCCCTTGCATAGGTCCTGAACTGCGCATGTGTGGTCATGCAGTTGGAGCCTGGCAAAATCCCAACAAAGGTGTTGTTGAATCAGTTGCCAAGATAGGAAATGATTTGGGGCTGGGATAAGTTTGAAAGGATGTAGCAAGTTCCACCTTCATCAAAGTATCTCATCTAGAGTTTGTTCATGCAAACTTCCACTCAATATCAGTAGGACCCTATGAAAGACACAAGTGCAAGGGTTGAGAGAGTAAACTAGAAAATAGACCTATGTTTCATTTTAAGCTCTGGAGTTGCTTCTAGAGAGGGCAACCTGGCAGTAGCTATATAAACTCCAATTACATATACCTTATAAATGCAAGTACATAGATCTGACCATCCAATTTGAGAAATATATTTTATTTGGTATGGCGATGCATATGTTGTGCCCAGATCGTGACCCCCAGAGAGACCACCAAAGACGAGCATGCTGGAATGCAAAAGCAAGGTTTAATTCTGCATAAACCATCCTGGGTGGGGACTTCGTCCAATACATCCAGCGCAGTGGAGGCTAGAGGAAGTGCCCACCTATCTGCAAGCTCAGCTTTTAATGGGAAAAATCACAAGGTTACATCATTTAGGGGTGCTAGTACGGGTACAATTCTGATTGGCTCGCTTCTAGGAACTTCTAGAAAATACTTCTAAGGGACTGGTTGCACGCCATCATTTCTCATTGGCTGCCCTCAGGTGGGGGCATTTCTGTGGTCAGTTACGCTGGAAACCAGGGAGAGGACATTCCATAGTCTGGCAGGCATTACCTTGTGAATATCTTGTGACTCTGTACGTTTACTCTTCCTGGTTTCTGGAATCTGAACTGACTAGTTTCAGTAACTAATGGTCTCTTCCCAAAAGGAGAAATCTTAGGCCTTAATTTTAGGGTGAAAGCATTTTGGTCTTATTTCTAAGATGGCTTATTTTGGTCTCACACATATTTCCAAAGCTACCAACTTGGGAAGCTGAGGCAGGAAGATCATGAATTTGAGCCTGGTCTTAGTGTGAGTGCCCTTCAGCTTTAAAAAATATAAAATTATAAAATTCAACATAAATGGTATTTTTTCAATTTGTTAATAAAATGAGAATACATACATTAAAGAGATAAGTGTTGTTTTCTTATTTCTATTTGTAATTTAATGTAATATTGAATGAGGTACTATTACCAATTGAATGCTGTAAATCTATATATTATCAAAGTTAAGTTATGGGACACTAAAAGAATTGTTCCTCAAAAGAATTTACTACCCAATCTATTTCTGACTTCATAATACTACATTCCAAATTCAGGATGTTGCTCATTGGAACACCAGGTCTTGTGTTTTCTCTTCTGGATTGCCTATTTGCTATGGCCTTGTATTTTTTCACTGTTGGAATTACAATAGACACTACTACTGTAAGGAAAAATCAGGAGCCCTCTTGAAAGATGCCCTCTCGCCCTCCTCCTCTAAAGGTATTTGCTGACCAGCAGTTTTAGAGCCAACTGGAGATTGATTTTATGGGAAAATAGGACTGAAACAATAGATCTAAATGTATATATCCTGGGATCAGGACATAGGGAGTAAAATTTATGTCTCTGTAGATACCCTGCCTCCTGTTAGCCATTAATAACCTCATAGTTACCTTATAGTTCAGCCAGTAACTTCAAAGAACTACCTCACTCCTAGTCCCCTCATCCAATCCCGAGATGTAACCCTCTGCACATAAACTTTTCCTATATAAACCCCTTAAAGTGAATGTTCAGGGCCGCCCTCCTCTGTAGCTAGAGTTTTCCTGCCTTGCCCATAGTCAGGACAAATCTTTGTCACCGGCCAGTCCCACAGCCACTCAGACCCAAGCAAGTAAACATAGAGACTTACATTGCTTACAAACTGTATGGCTGTGGCAGGCTTCTTGCTAACTGTTCTTATAGCTTAAATTAATCCATTTCCATGAATCTATACCTTGCCTCGTGGCTTACCGGTGTCTTCACATGGTGCTTGTCCTGGCGGCGGCTAGCAGTGTTGTCTTCCTGTTGTCTCAATTTTCCTCTCTGTTAGTCCCGCCTATACTTCCTGCCTGGACGCTGGCCAATCAGTGTTTTATTTATTGACCAATCAGAGCAATTTGACATACACACCATCCCACAGCACTCCTCTACCTGCTGTGTTGAGTGTTGGACACAGACCAAGTCTGGGCTGGCTTTGCTGTTAATAAACCCCCTATGTGCTTGCATAGGATATGGGCTCTGTGATGGTCTTGCTCAGGGGTCTTGCGATGTGGGCACAACATTTAGGGGCTCATCCTGGATCCTCTGCTACCCCTAGACCCTGATCTGAGGGTTTCCTAACTGGCTGGTAAGTTTCTGTGTCTTTGCTTGTCCTTGTCTTTTTGTGACTCTGTACATTCATTTTCTGAGGCACAGTAGATTTGTGAAATGGTCCAGTAATGGTCAATACCAGTGGCAGCCACTGGACACACTGGAACCAGGATCACAGGATTTCAGAAGAAATTCTGGACCCTGTTAATGGGGCTGTGGTAGTCCCAAGGTCTGTTTAAATGAGGACAGAGAGCCTCGAGTCTGGAAGATTTTTGGTGTGGCTGAGCCTGGGGGGATCGCTCCCTCCAGAGCACATCAGGCTGTCATTGTTCTTGGAACTTTGTTGGTTGTCTCTTGGCTCAAAGTTTTTTGTGTGCCCTTGGTCTTGTGTGTAATGTGTTCATTGTTCTCATTGTTGACTTGACTAAGATGGATGCCATGGGACAGTCACCCTCTTCCTCCCTGGACTTTCACCTAGCATACTGGAAGGATGTGTGATCCACTGCTCACAATAGAATGATGGATTCACCAAGGGAAGTTTGTCACCTTTTGCAGTTCAGAATGGGTCTCTTACAATGTTTACTTGGTCTCCGGAAGCAACCTTTGATGCTGGCCAAGGAAGAGCTCCCCATGGTTCCCACAAACCCTGCCCTAGGGGGAGGACCAGCTGTGAAGGTACACAGAGGCAGAGAGGAGAAACTCCTGATCCTGGTTAGATTGCCCTTCCCACAAGAGCTACTGTTCCCCTTGATCAAGGTGGGGATCAACCCTTTCACCACTGGCCCTTCTGGCACTTATGTCCTTGTAAATGTTTCTTGTTTCTGTCTACTAGCTTCCCTTATTGCTATCAGGCCCACAGCACTGGCAGGTGAGGGAAGCTCATCAGCAGGGACACAAGTTGGGTGCTTATCACTTGCTGGCCCCTGGGAAGTTCTGAGACTGGGCCCTCCCCAAGAAAGCAGGGAGGTGAATTCCCAGAGCAGGCAGACCCTGCCGGAGAGGCCCTGGGTGGGCGGCAGATGCCTCCCTCACAGGAACTTGGAAGAGACTCAGGGCCAGGATGCACAGGGCTGGTATTAGCCTACAGGAGAGACTCCTGTGGCTCTCACCGAAGATGGAAATGCATTCTCTCTACAGGCAGGCAGAGGTGGGGGAGATATGTGAGGTTGGGAGTTTACTGCCTGCACCCTCTGAATCTAAATCCCCCTCCCTTCCTTCCTAAGCTCATCATTAGCTTCCCATGTTAAACCTCCTCTGTCCTGGTAATGCTTAGAAAAAATGTTAAAGATACATTACGTTTAAAAAATTATGATTTTGTTTCCACATACACACACAAAATACATGGATTTTGGTCATTTCAGTTCAATGGGTTACAAATACTTGCCATCATTTAAGAGAATTGGTTACAAATTATTATTGGTTAAGATAAGAAAAAACTGTATCAAATTCCAAGTAGAGGATAACTCAATGAATTAAACAGAAAAAAGATATTTTAAGATGTAATATTTTTATAAAAAATTAAAGGCTTAAGTATGTCATTAGAGACTGAATACATACTGTACTGGGTCTGAGGAAGTAGTTTAAGATATAAAAATATGAATCTTTAAATTTTAAATAAGTTATGAGATTTGAATATGAATAAAGTTTATATGGAGTCTAAGATATAAATGTTTTAGGTATGGGAATATAAAAAGAATGTTTGGGGAAGAAGGAACGTATATGAAATGCAAGTTATTAGACTATGTAAAAGCAAGTTATAAAAGTCTGAGGATAAAAAGGCTTAAGTAATGTTAAGAAATGATTTGAGATGTATAAAAAATAAAACATGTTCTGGATTTCTTTCTCTTGCTATTCTGCTGTTACACTGAGACTCCAAAGGTTTATAGTTTTAAAAATGACTGTCTACTGTGTAGGTATGAATAAAAATGTGGCCATATGTATGTTTGGTTTTGAATGTCTGAGTTTTCATGTCCTTTGTATTATGGAATACATGCTAATAGTAGTCATCTGGCTATCCAGATACTAGTTTAAAGCATAAACTGTTAACTCTTATGTAATAATAAGCTATTTAAAAAGAAATAAAACAGAACCTGAGAGGTCCATTTGACTAATATATCTACAGAATAACAAATTGACCTGGTTATTGTTACCAAACTTGGAGATGTTTTCAAGATTAGGCTTAGATTTGTTTAGCTCAGATATATTTAATAGACAATGATCCTCAAACCTGTCAAAGATCTGATGAATATGGCATTTAAATTATTTGATAAAAAGCTTACTAGCTCACTAGAACAAACAGAGACTCCCAGCTCCTAGCTTTAACTCCCAAGGTTTCCAAGAAGCCATGGAACAAAGACAAGATGACACCCAGACTCAACACCTGCTGCCAGGGATCTGGCCTAGAATGGACATATGAGACACTGACAAGATAAGCTCAGTCTTTCCCAAAGTTGCCCCTATACAGAGAACTTTAATGGTATAGGCCCAGCAGCCAAGACTGATGCTGTCCTGACACCTGTCCTGCCAAGACTATGAAGACTACAGGAGCCTGGGATGATGGCAGTCTGGGCAATGGATAGTCTCTGTCATTCTTTAATAGATTTGGAAGTCTGTACTCAGGTAAAATTTGTCCTTCTCAGAACTCTGATGGCATTGACGATTAGGTAGCTACAACTTTGTCAGCTTAGCAACATCAGGCAACCAGAGTCTTCCACGGGGTTGTAGCCACCTTATTAATTCATTGAACAATGAATAAATAATTAAAGCTACTAGGTCTCCTGAAAAAAAGAGAGACAAACAGGTTTGCCTTACAAGCTTCATATTAAGGGACAAACAGGTTTTAAACATAATTTGAAGTGGCTGTTCTTATAAAAGATACTACAAAATTTCTTTCCTTTACCATACTGTCATTACATTAAAACTTAAAAAGGTCAGAATTTAACATTAATAGAATTCTGATAATATTATAGAGCAATAACTGCTTACTGTTTGGATTATGAGCTCAAGATTTTGGATTTCTTATGGTTATCTTCTGAATGTAGACTTACAGATGGATTCCTGTTACCTGCTTTTTCTACAATATGTATTTCACTACTAATTGGTAACACCAATATATTTACTAAGGCTGTGGGCCTAAAAATTCCAAATAAGTTAACTTTTGTCTCTAGTCTACATCTGTTTCATTGGGCTTCCATTTGGCTGGCAGACAGATCCAGGCATCAGCTACTGACTTCAACCTGTGACACATGGACTTGCTGAAATCTGATATGGACCAATCCAGCCAATATAAATGCTGTTTCTTCAGCTGGTCAATGAACCAGATGCTTCTAAATCCCCTCCTTGCTTTTGACTAACATTCTGGCTTTCTAGGACCCTGAAAACAACGTCCCAACATCAGCAGGAAATAATTACAGAAACGAAAACATCTCCCTTATTCCCTTCTTGAACATTCGATAGAAAAAAAAAATCTTGTCATGGAGAACCTTAGATAAAATAATAACTGTCCCTATTTTCATTTCCAAGTTCCTTCAGGATAAGGAACTCTGTCAGCCAACACAGGGCTTTTGGCCCTTCTGCTTCTGCTAATTACTGTTGGCTCTTACATCATTGAAGTCTTATCTAAACAATAATTCCTGTTTGGATGCCACTAAACTGATGATACTAGAATCCCTCACCTTGCTTTCTGAGGTCATGTTACAGAATAGGCTAGGGCTAGACCTCCAATTCTTACAACAAGGGGGACTATGTGCAGCCCTGGGAGAGAAATGATATTTTTATATAGATCACTCTGGGCTGGTTAAGGACTCTCTGGCCAAAGTAATAAAAGGCCTCAACAAGTGGAAAAGGGACAGGGAAGCTGGCCAGGGATGGTTCGAATGTTGGTATAACAGTTCCCCCTGGCTAACAACTCTAACCTCCATTCTTTTGGGACCCTACTGCTACTAGCCCTCATATTAACCTTTGGGCCTCACCTTGTAAACAAGCTGATGCAGTTCATCAGAAAAAGTTTGGAGACCACCAAAATAATGGAGCAAAAGTCTCAACCTCAATATGAGATCCTCAACCAAGATATAAAAATGGGCCATTCAACTTAGGGTACATATTTGCAAACTAGGTATTGATAACCCATGACTGGGTGTCCTCGAGTTACTAGGAGAGGAGGGAATTTAAGGGGAAAATCAGTAGCCCTCTTGAGAGATGCTCCCTCTCCCTCCTCTAAAGGTATTTGCTGACCTGCAATTTTAGAACTGACCAGAAGTTGAACTCATGGGAAGATACAGCTGAAATAATAAATCTATATATCCTGGGTTTGGTAAAAACAGGATATGGGGCGTAATGGACTCAACTGACCAGAAGTTAAACTCATGGGAGAATAGGATAGGAACAATAAATCTGAATGTATATATCCTGGGCTCAGCAAAAGTACGACATAGGAAGTAAAAGATTTATGTCTCTAGAGATACCCTGCATCCTGTTAGCCATCAGTAACCTCATGCTTATAGTTCAGCCAGTAACTTCAAAGAACTACCTCACCCCTAGGCCTCTCGTCCAGTCCTGAGATACGTAACTCTCTGCACATAAATCTTTCTTATAGAAACTCCTTGAAGTGAGTCTCGGGGCCATCCTCCTGCACTTGCTGTGTTAAGGGTTGGACACAGACAAAGCCTGGGTTTGTTTTGTTATTAACAAACCCCTGTGTGCTTTCATCAGATATTGGCTCTGTGGTGGTCTTACTCAGGGTACAACACACTGAATCAAATTTTCACATAGGTAGGTGGATTTAAAAGGCAATCTGACATATTAGCCTATGTCTCTGCTCCCAACTCTTAGATCTGGTTCCTGTTGATTGTGTACCAAGAAGGTGTTGGTATTTAAGGAAAACAATCAACAAATGGCTAGACAGTTGTTAAATTAAAATGTTTATTAAAAATTGATATTTCGGTAAATGAATTCCATCCAGGGTTGGTGGTACATGCCTTTACTTTAATCCTACCACTCAGGAAACAGAGACAGGAGGATCTCTGTGAGTTTGAGTGCAGTTTGAGTACAGATTTATATAACATGTTCCTGGCTAGCCAACACTACATAATAAAACCATGACTCAAAAATAAATGAGAAAATAAATAAAATATTAAATATAAATTATTAACAATTTTGGAAAACCATCTCTCACCAGAATTTTAGCAGTTTCTGGTACTTAACTACATTTCTGAGGAAGGTGGTAACATTAATACAAGGAGTTTCTCTAATATTGTGTGATTAGACTTGTTTACAAATACTTTATAAAAGAACAAAATATAGCAATAGAAAAATCACACATGGTTAAAAGATCCACTTAGAGGTATAGGATATAAAAGAGCTCAAACTGTGCCACATTATGGGGTGCCTTATAAGACCCACTTCCCAGAGGCAAGAAACATGGGGGTGGCCTTTTTCCTTTGATACCGAGGACAAAGAGTGCCAGTTGCAGAAGGAGAAGAAAATAAAAGAAATGCAGAAAGGGAAGGTGCCCAAGTTCAAGGCCCTTCCTGTGCCCCATTTTGACACCATTAACTTGTCAGAACAAAAGGTAAAGAATGTGACTCAAGCTGAGCCTTTCTCCCTGGAGACAGACAAGAGGGGTGCCTATAAGGCTAAGGTGTGGTAGCAACAGCTAGAGGAAGAACCGAAGCAGCAGAAGGAAGCAGCTTGCTTCAAGGCTTGTCCAAACACTATCGTCTTCCAGGAGCACTTTGTTCCCAGGAAAGAGAAGAAATCAGCAGGCAGTGAGGACTACCACACCCTCCTTCTACTGGCCAGTCTCGTGAACAAACTCCTTTTCATCTTTCAGAGCCCCTCTTTTAGGTTACCATACCATTCCTATCGCGAGATGTAGGTTTTCTTAGAGCTTTTTCACATGCCCTTCATTCTAGTTGACTTTTCCGATCGCGTCACTTCCCCATCCATGTTTGAACCTTTCCACTCCGACCATTTCCCCTCTCTACCTTGATTTTTTTTTACCTGTATCCACCTGCCCTCATAAGTCCATCCCCAATGGCCTGTCTCTAATTAACTAGCTTCCACATGTGAAAACTTTAGCAAGTTTCTGTAGTCAGCAAGAGTCTTTACACCTGTCCCTTAGCCAGGCTCCTTCTACTTTTCTGTCTCTTACTCCCGTCAGTTAACTCTGAAAGCATGGGCTCCATGACCACCCCTGATCATGTTCAGGAATGTCTGTGTTTAGACTCCTTTTCACTGTGCTTGTTGATTGCAAGAATTTTCCAATGCACTTTGGGATGCATGAACTCAGCACTGGTCACTTGTGGAAAAGGGTGGAGAGAGAGAAGGCATGGCAGGGACCAGGGCCTGGTTTCTGCTGGGTATGGAGGAGAATCAGATTGAAGCAGGATGGCAGGAATAGTCAGGGATGATGGAGGCCTGATTCAAGGAAAGTGTTTGGGTGGGAGCTCCATCTCCACCCCTGGCACCCTGGCATCTCTACACCCAAAGAGTCCAGGATGTTTGTAAGGAGTCTGGTGGAAGATCCACCTCAACTTTCCTCCCGTCTCTTTCCCCAAATTCGCCTGTTCAAAGCCCACCAAACACAGCTCCTCCCCCAGAGAGGCTCAAGACCACTCTGACAGGGTATATAAGCAGCATCCCTGAAAACAGACACTTGGTTCTTCTGGCTTCTTGGCCCTGTCTCCTTTCTGAGGGGCTGGGAATCACCCTGGAAATGTTTTACCCATTAAACCTGGGCTTTTCCAGTTCAGTCTGATTCGGTTTGTTGTGACTGGCTCAGGGCCTCGTGGTGGGAAAACACCCCTCTGCCAGCACCTGCTCTGTGCCAGACTGAAACTGGCTCCCAGTTAGGTAAGTTTCCTTTTCCAGTTATTGCCTAGGAGGCCCAGGGCCTCTTCATTTTGGGGGCAGGGGGTGTCCTGCCAAAGATGCAACTGCACCAGGCCCCAACCCATTCCAGAGCACAGGGCTGCCTTTCCTCTGCCCAACCTGTTCCAGGGCGAAGGGCTGCCTTTGTTCCATGGCACCCCTTCTCCATAAGATGTCCTGTTGAAGGAAATTTCTCCCACACACCCATTTTTTGACCTAAGACTTACCACAGTGGATGTACTCTGCTAGGCTTCAGATCCCCAACATAGACTTGAGAAATGGCACTTGCCATTCAAAGCCTGATCCCCAAACAACCCTGTAGGGTCTTTTACAAAATCTATTCAAGTTGGGGCTATTTGATATAATTGAACAGAACTGCTCTACATCCATGGTTTTTGGGTTTTGCATTCCTGCCCTCCCTACAGGGGCCAATGTCTCACAGCACAATCCATTCACTGCTGGAGACACTAACTGCCACCTTCCCCTAAACTCTACCTACCCAACCTCCTCCTCAGGGGCCACAAATCTAAGACCAAATTCCTCCTCCTTACCTTCCTTCCTGTCCTCCCCTGCCCCCACTGCTCCCCCTATCTCCCAATGCCTCAAACTACACACTGGCCTATCACCCCCAAATCTTCCCAGGTTTCTTCTTTTCCTTGGTCTGACCAGACTCCAGCCTTCCCATCCAATTCATTTCTCAGTCAGTGCCAGATATTAGAAAGAAATATTAAAAGGCCGGGGAGGATCCCCAAACTCCCCAACAGGAATTGGTGAAAATGGCTTTTAAAGTTTTTAATGCTTGAGAATGACAGCTGAGTCAACCCCACAGACAGAGCTGTAACAGAATAGGCTCCAAGTCCAAGCCCTAGCAGCTTCTCTGAGGACACCAGGGCCCCCACAAGGGGTACAAGGGAAGTCAGCCATGAGGCCCCATCCCGCTGGAGCTCAGCCCAAATCAACCACCAAAAACTTGCTTCAAATGTGGCAAGCAGGGCCACTAGTCACGGTATTGCCCTGACCCCCAGCCACCCAGGAGGCCATGCCCTGTCTGCAGACAGCCTGGGCACTGGAAATGCCCCCATGCAGGCTCATCCTGGCAACTGAGAATTCCTAAGCCTGACAGAGAACTGACACAGTCTAGACCTGCTGACTCCCATTGCGCTCTCCAAGCCTAGGGTGACGCTGCAGGTACCGGGTAAGTCCACTGACTTTCTTTTGGACATGGGAACTACATATTCTGTTTTGACATCTCACTCAGGTCCTACAGTTCGCTCACCAAATTCCATCACAGGGGTGGACAGGATCCCTTCCTTCCCACTTGAGACCCTGACACTTCCCTGTATTCTTTCAGGGCGATTCTTCTCACACTCTTTTTCTGGTCATACCTGCTTGCCCTGCACCTCTGCTTGGTCGCAATATTCTCAGCCTTTTTGGGGCCATACTCACCTTGGCCCCCACAGTCTCCTGAATATATTTCACAGGCCCATTCACAGGGGTCCTCCACATATGTCATCCTCTGTGCCAGCTTTGAGGACACCAACCAGGCTAGAATTGGCAGGTGGGCTTCACTCACATGCCCACACATAAAGAACTCACTTATCCCCTAACTATGGCTGACACCTTTATACTCCGGAAAGGTTGAGAAGGGCAATGGACTCATCAAACAACAGCTCACCAAGCTCTCCATTGTACTCAGGTTATCTTGGCCCTCCCATCTCCCCATTGCCCTTACCCACCTCCAGGCCACCCCATGCTCTCCCACATGTTTGAGCCCTTTTGAGATCCTTTATGGTAGGCCTTTCCTCCTCAATCACTACCTCCCAGCCAAAACTCCCCCACTATCTGGGTACCTCCCCTCCCTCTCTCTCCTGAGATCTCTTCTCCATTCATACCTGATCCTCACCACCCCCTCAACTGCCAAGCTCCTGGGACATCCATGCTAGTACCATCTCTCCAGGCTCAAATGGGCACCTATTCAGGATACAAGGTCTGTCTAGCAGCTGGGACCCTCGACCCTCTGTAGCTGAAGTTTTCCTGATCCTGCCTGGCTACTGTGTCCCTGCGGCTGCTTAGTAAACACAGAGAGGCTTATGTTAATTAAAAGTGCTTGGTCATTAGCTCAGGCTAACTATTGACTAGCTCTTACACTTTAATTAACTCATAATTCTTATGTATGTTTATCCATGTGGCTTGGTACATTTCTCAGATCTGCCTTGTCATCTTGCTTCCTCTGTGTCTGGCTGATGATTCCTGACTCAACCTTCCTGATCCCAGAATTCTCCTCCCTACTTATCCCACCTACACTATACTTCCTGCCTGGCTACTGGCCAATCAGTATTTTATTTATCAACCAAATCAGGGCAACACACATTCACAGCATACAGAAAGACATCCCCAGCAACCCTCTGTTTTCCAAGATGTCCCAATAAAGGGTCTGTCTGCTCTTCTACTCTGTACATTCATCTTTACAGTACAACTAGAGCATGTTAATGATCTATTTTTTTTCGTAGAAACTTGCCTTCCTTGCTGCCTCAGGAAACAGATGCCTGAGGTCTCCAGGATGACAATTGACTGGAGGCTCCTCCCCTCACACCTCCTGCTGTATGTGAGCCCAGCAACCCCCAATTCCTCTTCCTCATGTCGCTCCATGCCTGAAGGAAGTAGTCAGACTTGAACCAGTGCCCCTATACCCAAAGATTCTGGAATATTTGGGTGGGCGCTCCACCTCAGCCCCTGGCACCCTGGCTTCCCTATACCCAAAGAGTCCGGAATGTTTGGAAGGAGTGTGGTGGAAGATCCATCTCAACTCTCCTCCCCCATTTCTTTCCCCAAACCTGCCCCTTCAAAGCTCACCAAACACAGTTCCTCCCCAAATCCACCCCTTCAAAGCCTGCCAAACACAGCTCCTCCCCCAGAGCTGCATCCCAAAAAACAGACATATGCTTCTTCCAGTCTACCATCCCTTCTCCTCTCTGAGGGACGGGGGATTCATCTGGGAACACTTTAACCACTAAACCTGGGCTTTTATAATTCTTCTGATTCAGTTTAATTTGGATTGCCTTCAGGGTTCAAAAACTTATCAGAAAGTTCAATGACTTTCCTAGCAGATTGAGGGCCTGTTTCAGGTAAGTCACGCACAAGTCAGGGTTACTTTGTTTTCAGATCTTGGCATAAGGGATGACGGCCAGGGCAGTGTGCATATGTAACCCTAGGCCCCTGGTTTACCTGCCAGGACTGTAAAATCTAAATGCAAAGGTAATGTTCACCGCATCGCCAAAAGTCTTCTGAGAATTTAAGAACTGGATAGGTGTGAACCAGGGAAAACCAGGGCTGCAGATGATTTCCAAACCAGTGTTCATTGAGCTCTGAGATTCTGAAGTTCAGTCCCAATCTTGATTTGAAGGGGAGTGGTTAGATGAAAGGAGGGGCCAACAGTCTCAAAGGGACTGAAAATGGGTAGTGCTCTCCCTTTGTCTTCCCCACAGAACTATGTGATCCCTGAGAAGTCATCAATACAAGGTGGAATCAGAATCTTCAGTTGTGTCTACATGTGAGTCAGGGTACTAAAGAGGTGACCAGGACTGGCTCAGTGATGGCTGCAAAAGACAGGGTACCTGAGGGTGAAGACAGATCCTCAGTTGCTCCTTAGTGATTGGGGACCACTTGCCTGGTATAAGGTATAATATGTGTTAGTGTAGGAAATGAAGTGCCAAGGCCTCTTACCCACTCAGCTGCTCCTGGCATGGGCTGCTATGGAACTTTTTACCTTTATCCAATCTCCCCACTCTGCTGAGCTTTCATTCCCAAAGAACTCTCATGGTATGCATTCTATCTCGTTCTTTCTGGTGGGCAATGAACCAGCAATGAGCAGACCCCATAGTCATTAGTACCATGCAACTTGCCCTTTGGCCTTGGTCTTTAACTTCATTCTTACAGTCCATGGAGGATCAACATTATTTGGGTGTTGTTTTCTATATGAGATCTTGGTCATTAACATATAACACTGAATGGCTATGTAGTATGATGTAAAACCAAGGTGGGAAGGGAGCTATTCTGTGGCCCAGACACAGCTGAAGGTCAATGGTCATGGCATTCCACTTTGCTTTCCTGGGGTTTGCATCACTGTGGAGCTGTCCTCCTTAAGTCTCACCAGGTGGTCTCCATAGCCCACTGCTCTCAGAGTGCTTTAACTTTCCTGGGGTTCCACCAATGGGCAAGCTGGGGAGTAAGCTGCTGGGTGAGGTCAGAAAAGACATGCATAATAACAAGCCTTACCCAGCGGGGATATTACTCATGGGCAGTTTGCTCCCACTAATGGAGCATCAGTCCTTCCTTGACATGGTCCCTGCCATGTGGGTTATCCTAGTCACCACCCAGCACTGGATCTGCCAGATCTTCAAAAGTGCTCACACCCTACACCCCACAACAGTATCTGCCAATGACACCAATATATTCCCAAAGTAATAGCCATGTTTTCTTGTCCATCTAAGGACCTCACATTATCTCAGTGTCCTCTACCCTTCTGTGAGTCAGGACTTGTCCAATTGGCAGTATGTGTTGAGAAGCAGAGTGGTGCACAGCACGGACTCACAAATAGGTTCCCAAGAGCCAGCCAAAGCCCGAGGGACAGCCCCTGTTACCATTGTTAGGAGTCACACAAGTAGACCCAGTTACACAGCTGTCAGATATATGTAGAGGGCCTACTCAGTCTCATGTAGGCTCTCTGGTTGTTGGTTCAGACAGAGTTCCTATAAACCAGGTTAGTTGTTTCTGTTTTCTTATGATGTTCTTGACCCCTGTGACTCCTACAATCCTTCCTCCCTTTTTTCAGCAAGATTCCCTGAAACCCCAAAGAAATGTAATTTTTGGCTGTGGGTCTCTGCATCTATTTCCATCAGTTACTGGATGAAGACTCTCTGACAATTGGTAGCCAACAATCTGATCACAGGAGATTGCCAGTTCAGGCTGTGTATCCGATATTACTAGACATCTTAGTTGGGTTCATCCTCATCGATTTCGGGGAGTTCCCCTTGCATCATGTTCTACCTGACCCCATTCTGCTCCCCTGTTCCAGTCATCTCTCAGTAGAGTGCCCCTTCATGCACCTCCCAACCTAAACCCTCATGCTCCCATCCTCACCTGCCCCCAGGAGATATTCTTTTATTTCCCCCTCCCAGGGAGATCCATGCATCTGCCTTTGGGCTTTCCCTGTTACCCAGCCTTGAATTTGGTTAAGCCTCTCTACTTTGGAATTGGTCATTTTGGGAGGAGTTATGTTGTCCTGGGTTTTTCATGTTACTTCTGCTTTTGTCATGGGCCTTGTTACTTGAGTGTTTCTGTTTCCTTTATGTTGGGGAGTGTTTAGGTTGATATTTGGTGTTCAGAGTTTGGCTATGCTAGGTTCATCTGTGTTCTACTTGAGCTCAGGTGTGGAGACACATGGTGCTGTTTTGTAGGTGGGATAAATTCCTGATACTGGATGATCTAGGAGTAGTATCCCTTCTGACCTCACCAACCAGAATACAGGAGTTGAGATGAGATGTCTGCTGGGGCAGGATTCAGAATATCCCACATCATCTGATCTCATGAGCCAGGTTATGTGTATTACAATGGTTGTGTGTGCTGGTCACGATGTGCTAACATGTATTCTGACCTCATGAGCCATGTTCCACAGAGTACAGTGGGTATATTCACCAACATTGGATCCAGAGTGTGAACAAGCCATGATTTCCACAGTTCTGCCAGCCTCCTAAACTGACCTTCCTGCAACCACTGTTGCTGCTTATACGTCCCATGATTATCTCAAGTCATAGGATTTCACTCCTGTGTTTATACCCTCTGATTGGTGCTTAACATACTAAAAATACACTCAGATTCCTCTCCTGTCTCTGTATATATCATTAGGCACTATTTGTTGTGTCTGTCTTCATTCATCAGTATTTCTCCAATCTGTCTACTTGAGATGTGTTCTATGTTTAACTTCATTAAAATAACCTCACCCCATGGATTTGTATTGTACTGATCCTTGATTTCTTTTCTCCCTGAGATCTAGACAACCTTAAAACTTCTATTGTTTATATAGGTTTATATTACAGTCTTAAAGCCAGCAGTCAGTAGGTGATGTTTGGAGGATTACAAATTGAGGCCAGTCCTGGGAAACTGTCCTAGTATAGTTTGTATTGTTTATAGACAGGTCCTGGGATATTGTCCTAGTATACTTAGTATTGTTTATAGACAGTTGTGACATAACTCAGTGTGGTAGAAAGAGTTTAATAGGTTCCTGTGTTCTGTTCAAAGTCCATCATATGGGAAGTTTTCTAGGAACTCTAGGAGATTCAGAGGACGGCTCTTTACTGGCTTGCTCTTCACAGCTACTTCACTTTACTTTCTTACACAATTCCGGACCAAAATACAGGAGTGGAGGCACCCACAGTTGGCCATTTTTTCCCACATTAGACATTCATAAAGAAATGGTCCTGTAAGCTGCATGCAACTGCAAAAATCACAGGACTAGTTTCAGACACTCAGCACAATCATCCTCTTTGTTTTTAAGTCGTCTTTTTGTGTAAATGGATGGATGTGGAAAAGATATTGAGAGAACCCAGATCCAGAAAGACAAATGCCAGAGATCATAACCATCAGCTGTTTCTGAATCACAAACTTCTGAAGTGAGTAT